TTGTCCACACCTTCAGGCATATAGGGCAAGACCTAAATGTTATAGACTTTGTGGGTAATGTGGTCACCATCATGATAGCCACCTTTACTTGACGTGACACCAGTTGGTACTCATTCAAGGCTGGGGCGACTTGGGAGCCGAGGTTATAAGTTCCCATTGTACCAGTAGAAATCTGTACGTCCATCTTGATGAGTGTTGGCCAGATCTACGCATCACTCTGTGCCGCACGATTCTCTCCAGATTTTGATGATCTGTTTGTGCCTCGGAGCTGTTTACTCAATGCCTAAGGACCTTGACAATATTTAGCTTGTCGTGCATCAATTTACCACCAATGCTAGACTAATATTTTATAGTTCAATCGGTGCGTGATATGTCCAGAATTACGCCTGCTACTCTTAATTCCCAAGACATTGCCTAGCACTCATTTCAGGCTCAGTCAACCAGAAAGCCAACATACATTTTTCAAAATCTGCAATAATGCAGGTTTGAACCCAAGACCTTTGGACGGACAGGCAACAATCTAGTCATTACACTACCAGAGCACCCATCAAAACAAAAAAAGCATATGCACTCAAACACACAAAAAACATGCCAGAAATTGTATACACAAGCTGAATTTGTAATTAGTATTGTCGTGTAGTCTTTCAAACAAAAAATTTACTGGTAACAAACGTGTAACTTTCACGGAGTCAAAAATATAATAATTTAAGATAGCTTTTAACTGTCACACAATTCCAATGATTTTTTTTTATAGCTAGCTTGAAAATACAGAGTGGTATTAAGTTGAAGATTTCTATTTTCTCTAATACATCCATAGACAGCAAATTGTATGTGACTGATATGTTGTTGAAGTGCCATCGTATGTCTCGATAAGATATATATATAATATAGAAGGGAATTTGATAATTAAGCCACACATGGTTATGGGATGGCAGGAAAATGTAGTTGGTGGTTTGTAAAGGTGTCATCAGGTGACAGCAACATGGAACTTTGTCTTCATTTCTTAGGTGACGTTACTGTTGCATTCAAAACACAGAAACAAAATGGTGGCTGTACTTACAGGGTGTACCCTCAAAGAACGTGTTGTTGAGAAATTTTAAGGGGGCAAAAGGGTTTCCTGCAAAGGACATTATTAGGAAATGCTTCCTGTTTATGCTGATTCATACTGTAAAGATATCTTGATACTTCGTGATGCAATTCGAAGAAAACATCCAGGCCGGCTGACGAGAGGAGTACTTCTCCTTAATGACAATGCCAGACCACATATGTCTCTGTTAACTCAGAAGAAAATAACCATCTAGGGTGTGGAACATCCAACTTAGCCCCTAGCGATTTCCACCTTTTTGGTCCACTGAAAACCTACCTTAGCGGGAGACATTTTGCAAATGATGCAGAAGTTAAATGTGAAGTGAAAATGTGGTTTAGAAAACTGAGCATGCAGTTCTATGCAGCAGGTTTAGGAGGACTGATAAAACAATGGGACAAGTGCATCAGTGTTTTTTTTTTTATAACTTTTTAAAACTATTTGTGACTTATTGACTTACCCTCGCACATATAACATGTGAACAGGAACACACCTTGCACTTATATCAACATACAGAAAAATAGTATTTATTTTATAATCATAATTATGAACTGAGATTACTGTTGATGTTGACATTTCTCTCTTCTCGGAAGGTTGTATAGAGTAGGGAGGCATGGGAAAGTAATCTCCTCCCACCCCCCCCCCCCCCTTCCACCAAGCTTAGGCAGTATTGTAAAGATTATGTGGTTTATAATCCGTTTTACAACCTGCTTTGTTTACTTCAAAAGAAATTGTTAACACCAATATGTTTAAAGCACACTGCAGAAGATCCGTACTCTGCTTCTTGGCGCTTCCTTCCTAGACCAGCTGCCACCACAAGCTAAGTTCAGTATTATATGGTTAATTTTACAAAAATCAACAGAAGTACACAATTACAAATAAAATTCAAAAGATTCAATAATTATATGGCACTGTCATAAATAACTAACACACATGGGCTTTGTTTTGCTTCAATAGGTGTATTAGTGTCTAAGCTTCCCAATGCATGAGCTATAAAAAAAAAAAAAAAAACTAATGTAACCTACTGGTTTAAGAAATTGTTCAAGACAAGAATCCCAAGTGGGAAAATTCTGATCAAAACGACTGAACTAAATGTTTACATGTCTGCTACTCATCAGAGAATTTGGGACCAGAGAGATAGAGCTCTGTCACAAGCATGCTTTCTGGAGAGAAAAAAATAATACAGATTACATTACCCCAGTATGCTTTAAAATAATCTCAGCTGATGTCAACAATAATCACAATGGTTTAACCTAACAATATCATGACTCCCTGTATGTGTTTTGGGGCCCATTGTGGGGGATAAGCAAGAATAGACCCACTGCCTCCCTAACAAGCATGTCGTAAGATTCGGCTAACTGGGAGCTTTCTTTGAATTCAGAGTACATCTGCCAAATAAGTCAGATCTGTAAAACAGATGTGCACGAAACACTTAGGTTCTGGAACAAGACTGAAGCCCACACGTGAAGAAACAACCAGAATCTTCTGCCTGAATTTACAGTGAGTGAACGCAAACAAACAAGAAGAATGTAATGACATTCAGTTATAACAATATAAAGAGATTATTTCAGTTTCTCCAACAATGTCATGAGATTACTTTAGTTAAACAACATAATATTTTTTCTGTGTAATAAATTGAAATTAACTGGGTTAAAAATCAGAAGAAGAAATTACTAAAGAAAAGGATGGATTTATGACAACGCCTGTTAAATATCACTAAAAGGGCATTAAAGACATAAATCACACAGAACGATGATAACCAATGCCACCCATAAACTGCTGTACTACCATCAACTTCTTTCTCCCCATGATGCTTGATGAAATAAGCACAAAAACCACAGTGATATTTTATCAGTTAACAACTACTGGGTAAATGGGAGGGACAAATGTGTTGTAAAAGTGACTGAGGATTTGCTGAAATCAGATGTGTTGGGCTGAAAAGTGCAGTCATCGTAAATTTGCTGTAAACCACAACACAATATGCCAACCAGTCTTTAAAGGGTGAATACAGAAGAAGCCGGTTTAAAATTACAATGGTGATATGTACACTGAAACATGGGATATGTGTAGTGATCTACTGTACTGCTGCAAGTTATCTTGATTTATTTGTGGTGTACATCTGAAGGGACACGATAACAAATGAAAGGCCATAAACTGTGCAATAAATTTTTTTTAAATCTTCAGTTGAAAATATATTATATGCTTAGATGAGGAAATAAATGTGATACAAAACTGCACTGATGAAACAAGTGTACATAAATAATCACAATACAGAACAGATTTTTATACTGTATGAATAAAAGATAAGACTAAATTTTGTTACGGAAATATTAACTAAAAAATAACCGATACGTATTAGTATATTTCTATGAGCATGAAAAAGACACCAGGTATGAACAGAAACAACACGGAATGATAAGAATTGTGACTTCCAAAAGGGCTTGGCGTCCATTTTTGTTTAAATTTAAGAAAGAGACAGTGTTCTCTGGTCATGTGTTGAGTTGATTCAAAAACTGACATTACAGTACTCGGGGCATTCTCATAACTGCTCCATCCCCATCTGTGGCAGCTAGGGCAGAGTTCCGGTACTAATGGTGTCGGTAGCATTCTGATTATACGTTCATCTTGCCTTTCCTCTGAACGTCGAGTACCGGCCAGATCACCTCATCACTCCCAGCTGCACCACTCTCACCAGACCGAGGTGATCCATTTGCTTGTCCAAATTGTTCACATTCTTGTGATAAGAACAAGGGGCTGGATCAGTGATGATTTGAAAAATTTACGTTGGGGGTGGGGGGAATAAATTAATAAATTATGCAATAAGACCTAAGTGGTAAAGAGGAACAGCAAAAGAAATGATCCAAAGCAAGGACTGAGATCAATGGAGAGACACGAAACTCCTATGCTTTTACAAGCAAAGGATGATGATATAGCTGTGTGGAGGCATTCCTTTCACCATCTGACAAAAAGCACTTGATGATGGCATAATGATATAAGCAAGACATTGTGTTTCCATCTGTTCAACACATTTCCAGGAAATCGCCCATTCTGAAAACGACAGGCCAACCCTAGAGCTGGACTGGTTGGCTTAACACATTGCTACTAGCAGCATTTAACCCTTTCACCTGGAAACATTAAAAAACAATAAGGTCACAAACGCGTAGATTTCCATGAAAAAAATTTTTTTTACAGGTCACCATACAAAGATATATGAAAGGAGAAATCCATAAAAACGGTAAAGCAGTAAATGGAATTCATCCCCTAAGGGCCTAAAAAACGAGTTGGATGACTCATGACATGATCTCTATCATTGAGGTTTATGAGAAAAATTATCACATAAGCTTGGCTTTTAAAAGGCTATTTGGCTCATAGGAAAACCCACTTATAAATGCTTTTGTTAGATACTGTAGTCATATCTGATCTCCTAAACGTTTGCACAGGCGCCATCTCGGCTAACAGCATTAACTATGCATCTTGTAATTAGTTTACCACATCTTGAAAATAGGTTGTTACAGACAACTCAGAAAAGTGACATTTACGGAGAACTTGACCCAACCAGATGTGTCGGTTTTTTGGCTTCTCGGGATGAAAGGGTTAAACTTTAGATCACATAGCTAGTGAAGCAATCACACTATCTATAATTAATTATATTATGCTATTCTCTCACCCTCTCAATACTAGAATACAGAAATCATTGACATCTAAGAATGCATAAATGTAGCTGAAATATGTTACACCAATACATTTCAATGATGATATAATCACTTTAGCTAAAAGAATAGCTTTTGACAGTCACTGACCCTCTGACTGAAAGTTCAGGTACATCACAGGTAGCAGGGAAGTGAGTTGTTAATAACAGGATGTTGCGGGAGCCAGTCGATTGATCTTGAGTTCTGTAGATTCCTCATGCATGTCTTTAGTGAAAGGCATGAGATAGTGTATTCATGAAAGTGCTGTCGTAGCCCTGCTGAGCAACAACTGAGGCTTCATGCTCCATCAGGGAGGACTGTTGCAAGACAGGACTTGCTTGCTTGAACAGATCTGTAAATTGTTTAAAAGTAAAAAATTAAGAACATTCTATGGAATCTTTTTTTAAGTAAAGTGAAAAGGTGAATTCTAAAGAGCTATGTAAGTCTTATAAAGTAAATTCTCAATAGTTAAATCAGTCCTATCCTGATAAATGAAAGTGAATCATGGGCAGTTGGCTAATAAGTGAGAAAAAAAAAATATGGGGAGGCAATGGGTCTATTCTTGTTTCCCCCACACTGGGGTCCTAAAACCCACACTGGAAATGGCAATAACATTTCTTCTCTTCTTTCGTTCGCTTGAAATAAATTATCTATATCTGCAATGCTGTCTTTTGTATGAATTTCACTGTCTTTTGTAATTCACTAAGCGGCCCGTAAAGTTTGACTTCCACAAGTGTCTCTTTTGGCCAAAGGTTTTGCCTGAAAGCGTTGAATCTGGGACAGTCTTGAAGGATGTGATCTGTTGTTTCAGGTGCCAGTCCACAAGTACACATGGCTGATTGGCCAATCTTAAATTTGTTGTACATGTGGGAGCGAAGTCGATTGTGCCCTGTTCTAAGGCGAAGGATAATGACTTGCTCTGGTCTGTCCATAATATGGTAATCATCTTGTGCCAGTTTCGTTGGCATTCTGATTGATTTGATCATTCTCTTCTTCTGTTGATAAGAGACTGGTATGTTAGGTGGCAATAACATGACTAGCAATTTCTTCTCGCATTAAAACATGTCTTCCACAATAAGGTTTTGAGATTTCATTACCACTGTTGCCATTCACATGTATCTTCTCAAATGTTAAGCTCTAAACTTATTACTGCAATCATTTTCTTCTGTATCGTTATTTTGTTCCTGAATTCCCCATCCATGGAATTATGATCCATGCCATTCTATTCTCGTGTAAATACCTGTATCACTCATGTCCTGTTTAGTTAGATAGTTGGGTTATCATCATTGCACTACCGACATGTCCATAGGTGCTCAGATCGTCCACTCAGTAGAAACCCCAGCGTCCGATGGCTAACAGTGCCAGTTCTATGTTAATCAACAAGTCCTCTAGTGTGTGTCTCATTTTTTTGTTGATATGCTGATCTAAACTCCCTGAGTATATCATTCTTGTGAGTAATGTTGATTCACTGGCCCCCAAAGTCCTCCACCCTTCCCATTTCTCGGAGAGCATTAATAATATCAGCACGATTCACAGGTTGACTGTTGGCAGTGATAGCGGATCCAGTCAACCTATTAGCTCCTCCATCTCCCAGCACGAAAATAAAGGTGACTTCACGCAGTTGACTTCTGTAATGACTGAAGCCACTGCCTTCGCACAGAACCTGCCTGAACACTTCGGATCATACTCAATGAATCCCTGAGTACACATGTGTGGATGTAGTTTTGTTTCGAGCCACACGAACGCTTGCGTTATTGCTATCCCCTCCATCGCCATGCTGCTGGTTGTCATAGAGATGGCGCCACTGGCTTCTTTAACTATTCTGCCCGCTGAGCAGTAAATGCCCATGCGCTTCTTTGTTGGCGTAGAACAGATCCGTTTGTGTAGATCAGTATAACTGCCTGGTCTGAATTTTCACTGAGAGTGCCCTGACAGCAAAAGGATTCTGCCTCCTGCAAGGCCTGTCAAGACAGGAAAATTTACAAATAAACACATGAGGCATGGGTATCCACTCTGCACTGGGGATAATGTTGGTTAAGCTGCATATTTGCTTGATATCTTCTTCCCGAGCTAGCCACGATCCTTCCCTCTTCAACTTGTCGCCCTTTTCATTGAAAAGCGCTTTATGCAGTGGGTGTTTCTTATAAGATCATATTTTAAGGTACCCCTTGGCCCTCCTGATCCTGACCCTGTGGTTCATGGTCGGAAGGTCAAGTAGATACCTCACTGCTACACAGGATGTGTCTCTTGTACATCCCCAAATAATGCGCATGGCTTCTTTTTGCACCTTTTCAAGTCGTTCAATCTGTGTAGCACTGACTGTACCGCCTGCATAATCCTGATATCTTCTACCAATTTGTAATTTGTCAAAAAAAAGGAAGTGACACTGTACATAAGGAATATTCAACTAAGTTTAATCACGGGCCAACATTTTGAAAATAGGAAATTTTACAGGCCAGTTTTTCAATGATCAATGTTTGTTATCTTGTCTTGCCACCAAATGCTAAGTATTCTTCTTAGACATCACATATAAAACTATTAAAGTCATTTCTGAAGGTGTTAAGCTGACCAAGTTTCACTAACATACAGAAGAGTGCTGAGAACACACGTTTGATAAACAAAGGCTATTGTTTGAAACCCATTTAGTATATAAGGTTAGTTGCGTATCCTTTACAGGACATTGCTGAACCGTTTTTCTAGGCAAATTTATGTCTAGTAGTTTGCCATTGCTTTATGGACAGTCAGCTTTCTTAATACCACTGTGGAAACCAACGTTAGGCGCATGACCCACAGCTGGGATCGAGCCACATTTAGTATATTTTCAATATCTACATACCTGTTGTGGTCTTGTGTAGTGGAGGTTCCACATTCATGGCCAGAACTCCAGCATAAGAGGAAATGATGTTGTTGTTGCAGGCATCTCCATACCTGTTCTCGTGGCTCTTTTCTGCAGCAGGTACTGGTGATGTAAAGAGACAGACACATGAAGCAACACTGTAGTACTGTATGTGAGCTATGCCTTCTGAGACTATCCAGTCAAAAGTCTATGACTAGTCTGTGGCCTAGGCACTGTGATTAAGCTAGGTAATGACGAGTTCAATACCAGCATATCATTCTAAGGTATTTGGTAATACGTCATTCTAAGACATTTTCCTAATTAGTTAGTGAATAACAGTTCCAACTTTGTAGCAACGGGTAACTCCATAACTGCTTTATACCTATGCCCCTTGTGATATATCGGAATGGGCTGCAGTCCCCAGCAAACTCACATTAAATGCATGAGACATCCTATGGTATTTTCATATTTCATTCTATTGTATTTTCCTACTATATGACACACTGGTATAGTGGTTAGTGCATTTAACTGCCTAGGATGTGGTCTGGGCTGCCAGAAGTGGCGGGACATTTTCTAATCAATACAGCTCTGAGGTAAACCCATCTCCATAAAACAAAACAAAAAGAGGCACCAGATAGTTTCAAAAAATTCTGAATTTGTATTAAGAAACTATATAACAGCACTCTGGACATTCCTTTAACTGTTCTGTCCTTATCTTCAGCAGTGTTCCAATTAGATGGCATCAATAACAGTCTGAACATCCGTCTTGCTTTTTTCACTGAGCACCAGACAGATTCCCTGGTGACTCCTTGCAGCATTATCATTCTCTGACTGTGTCTTCGTTCTGTTAACTCGCGTCTAATTAACCTCTACGAGATCTAGTTTGTCACGCATCAATTCACTAACTAGTGGTCAGTGATCAGCCAGTCTATATGCCTGTTCTTTTTTAAAGACACCGGCATAACCTGCAGAAAATATCCAAAGGGAGCTGAGTACCCAGGACCTCTGAAGTGATATTTGCTATTTTGCATGGAGCACACTTGTCTCCAACGTTCTCGACATACTATGAGTCAGTTACAATTACAATATGTGTACAGCTGGTTCTCAAGACAGCACAACATGTTGTGGTATCATATGCCAGGCTTTGCTGCATAAGCACTGTCCATTTGCTTTTGCTATGAACCCCCTTGCACTTCGTCTGCCTCTCAACAGAGACACCTGTATAGATAATCACATCACCTGGGTGAGAACTGTCATCAATAATTTTTTCGAACTTATGATTCTGGCAATTAGGAAGGGAAAATAGTAACTTGTTAGAACCGGAAAGTTGGAGTGGCAGAGAATAATATCAAGAGAGAAGAGGTTAGGACAGTCTGGCATTATGGCATGCAAAAAAATCTAAATCAGAAATTATGAACAGAGAGGCTACTGGTAGATGTGATTAACAATACCACAAGGAACTAACTATAAAAAAAAACAAGTCTTTTGACACTGACATAGAAAAACATTAAAGGCTACTGCACAGGACTGATCTAGATGGTTAAGAGTCCTCAAACATGCTACCATCAGCAAAGGTTGCTACAGAAGAGAAATGGAGGCTGACTAGAAAGATCTGTGTAGACAATCATGTCTCTAGTGTCTCTGCCATCTCCAGTATGCATTGTTAAAAAATGATCTGAGCTGAAAACACACTAGGCTGACCATTATATCTTGAGCTGAAAACACACTAGGCTGACCATTATATCTTGAGCTGAAAAAGGATATCAAAGCAAGTCAGTTTAATCAACCCACCCCCGTCCATTTGCCCCAGATCACTGGGATCAAACGGTTAATTACTCAATCGACAGTGGTATTAAAACCTTAATCACAGTCATCAAGGAATAAATGAAACAATATGCTCTTTAACTGCACTGAAAAAAAAAAACCTTACAATCAATTAATGTGTCTGTCCATCAATACATTTCAGGCATTAAAAATATACAAAACTATTAAATCTAATAAGGTCTACAGATTAACTGTAAGTGAATGTTCAATTCTTGAGCTATTCGCTAGATTTTTTTTAAAAAGGGGACAATTTACTTTTTTGGAAGTATTGACTGGATGGCCAGGCACGGGTTAAGAACCGGTCTGTCCCAGTGAAAATGGGACGTATGATCACCCAAGATTAGACTCATTTATCATCTTTGCACTCATCAACTTTTTTTTTAATTGTTAAGTAGTTTTCAATACTTGTGATGGTCAAACAGCATGAGAAGGAATGAGATAACCAATTGACAGTAAAAAAAAAAAACATGCAAATCTATCTCTAAACATAAGAAAGACTATTTACCATAGCATTTCCGCTTGCATGAGTGAAAGTCATCATCATCTTCGGCATCAAAAGAACGTTTCTTTTTATTCCAAGAGGAATTATACACAAAGTTGTTCCCCTTACAGTCTGTCATCGTTTCAGCATCGCCCTGGTCCATGTCACATGAGTCTGTAGGAAAACTGTTATGTATTTCTACTCCGTTCATAACAATGTATGAATGTTTCAAACTATCATCCTCTTTGGACAATCCTAACTGCATAGGTATATAATCTGAAAGATCTGTTAGACCTGAAAGTCCTGCTTGGGTGAAACCCTGCTGCTTCAAAAAACATCTGCCTGGTAACATATCAGAAGAGTCAGCATTGCTTTCGTATTCTGTCATATTATTAATGTCTTCTCTTACTGCGACTTGTCGTAGTTGCTCAGCTAGGGCAGTGTGGTTTGACTGTTCAGCTAAATCAGCTGGCGTCAGTCCCCTGTGGTTTTTTAAACTGAAATTAAATAGAAACATGTTAACATTGTCATAGATACAATGTGCCGTAAAGAGTAAACTCTTGATTTTGAGCTTCTCTATACTCCTTCTCTCATACACATACACCATAGATGTAAGAGATGTACAAATAAATAAGTCTTTCTACACATGAAGCATGATGATTCTTTATGTTTATATTTTACTCAAACACTTACTAGATCTAACTAAAACCATACTTCACAACTGAACACACAAACTGGTGAACAAATTTAAACTTACTCAAGTGAAACCCCATTGTCTACTAACAAGACTGCACAGTTAAAATTCCCTGCCTTTGCTGCCTTGTGCAAGGCAGTTTCACCCATAAAGTCCTGCAAACAGAAATAACATTATTAACAAATTTCCTTTAACACTTTCAACCTAGATGGTTTCAAAGTAGAAACCCAATTTGCATAATAATCAGTGAAAAAAGGCACCAGTGTATGGTTTTCGAAGCTACATCATACACTGTGCTGCATTTAAAATATTTGGCCAGATTTCTTTTGCAAATCCATACCAAATATGCAGTGAATACCATGTGTTATGCTGATATACATAGATATAAGGTGTGCAACAGGGTGCAGGGTTTGTGACAGAAACTGTTACGCTAACGTAGATAGAAAAACATTACCAATACTATTCTTTGAGCTATTTCAAGCAGAAGAACTTAACTTTTCAAAATCCTTAACTTACTTACTTATTTAGTCACTCCTCTTCTACCTTGGGGTGTAGAGGTTTGCCAGAGAGATCGCCAGACTTCTCTATCAGCAGTTTTCTTTCTGGCTTTGTTCCATTCCAGTCCTCTGTCAGATACTGTCTTCCCAGCAGACCCTGGGTCCCCCTAGAGGTCTGGTTCCCTGGTTCTTAGCCTCCCATGCCTGCTATGGTGGCCGATTTTCTTCCATTATGTATGCATATCTAAACCATTGTAAATGTGACTGATCCCCTCTGGTTTGTAAGGCCTGGGTTCCAAGATCTTGACGTCTGATTGCAGACTTTGTCCCTTCTTGTCACTTGGACACCTTACTCGGATATCTCATTTCCGAGGCCTGCAGCTGGCTTCTGTAAGCTGTGGTCATTGGCCATGACTTACACCCATAGGTCAGAAATGGCATGTAGGTAGAGCGGTAAACAGCTATTTTCGTCCTTTTGCCAACTTGTCTTTTGCTAAGAAACCCTTGGTTTATGACCTTAAAAAGACTCTCAGTAGCTGCTTCTCGTGAATCCAGCTGTTTTAATGCCTCCGTTTCTTCTATTACAACTCCTAGGTATTTGAACTAGATGACCTGCTCCAGTGCATATTGTCTTATCATGATCTGGTGCTTCTTCTCCTCTCTTGAGATCAAATTGGTTTTAGTTTTGGAGATACTGATGGTCATCCCTCTCTTTTCAAGCTTTTCCTTCCAGACAAGTATGTTGGATTGAAGGTGTATGTCCTGGAGAAGTAAACAAGGCCGGCGTAATGCTGACCACATTACACACCAAGTACCGATTGGTCTGTAAAAATATGGGTGCTCTTCCCTAATGCCTGATGCACCTATTGGTGCAAAAAGAGATCTCACTTTGCTTACTTTGCTAAACACTGACAGGACCATTTGACCTGTATGGTTCTGAAATCTGGAGTACAATTAGAAGAGAGAAGAGAGTAGGAAAAGAAGAAGCAAAAGTTAACATGGATGAGAGCGGTTTGCACGCATCGATGTAACTTGGTAGCCACACGGAGTGGTCTGTCATGCGCATTCGAGACAAATGATGATGAAGTACCTGTCAGTGCAATTAGTAAATGTAATTTAGTGAGTATTGCACTCTGCAGTCATTGTATTCAAAATGGCTAAACAAATAAAGCAGAGGATATGCATAAAATTTTGCGTTAATCTTCAACATTCCTCTGTGGAAACTTAATATTTCAGCGCTTGTTGGGCGATGCAAACCGCGCATCATAAACCCTTCAAATATTAAATATGACCTAGCAGATGACAAAAACTGATCCTCATGACTTGTGATAGGCAAACAACGAGCTTCTTCTGTACATAGAAAACGCAACTCACCTGTCTGTTTTTGGAGGAACCACGCTGTAGCAGCCACTTTAAACACAAGACAGATCCAGACTGTGCAGACAAGTGTAGTGGAGAGGTATTTGAACGGTGTGAAGGAGTATCAAACCCTAGTCCTGAACTCACATTCAGTTTCACAAGACAGTTTAACTGAAATATACAAATTAAATGCACACATGGTAATATGACAGAAAACTTAACACTGTATTGTGCAAGAGAGTGAAATTCAAATAAAGAATGCATGTATGACAGTATATTTTTGTATCCATTAGTATCTGTTTACTTACGCAGCCCATTTCTATCTTCTTCTTCTGAATTCCAAGCCCTTGCAGTTCACTGCTGCAGATAAAACCCACCACCATTCACCTCTGTGATTTGCACTCTCTTTCCAGTTTGTGACTCGAAGTGTTAGTAGGTCTGCATGTATATTATCTCTTCACCATCCTCTTGGTATGTTTCATGATCCACTCTTATTCAACTCTTCTGTGTATGCAGTGTCTCTCTCTCCCTCTTATCTGCCATTCTCTCTAAATGCTCCAACTATTGCAGTCTCTTATCCCTCGTAATGCCAGTAATTATTAGTGCAGAGAGAACAGATTATGAATTTCACTGCTGTTTGACTAGCTACCTATATTATATATGTATGTATGTGTGTGTGTGTATATATATATGCGTGTGTATATATATGTATATATGACAGGGCCTAAGAGCAAGAAGTGAAAGTTGATCCAGAGCTTGAAGGAATGGAAGTGGATCATCTGCATCGAAAGCTACATTGAAAGACAGCTGACAAAAAGACGACTGACATATACCACTGAGTGCTAATTGTATTCATGTCAATGCTGACCATCCAAAACTTGGCTGCATGCTTCAAAGTATGAAAACATGAAACCTGGATGGATGAAGTAAGTGCCAGGCTGCAGATTGTCTATAGACTATTAGACTAGTAGAGTAATTCTCTTGCTCTTGTGTTAAGACCAATAAACATGAAACTGCAATCAACTCTCATGTACTGAATTATGGAGAAGTGCGGCAGTTAACTGGGAAGAAGATATCTCGTCTGATCTGTGAACTTGACCTCTAGACAACAGACAGGGTCTTAATAGTACTAGTGAGACCCAGCACAAAGACACATTTTATATATATATATATATATATATATATATATATATATATATATATATATATATATATATATATATATATATATATTTATATTTATATTTATATTTATATATATATATATAATTTGTTTATGGTGGCTTGCATTCTCCAATTAAAAAAATGATATCTCCACTTAAAATTTATTAACAGGTTTGAGGTATCATTGGATGCGAAATTCTTATCTTATTCTAGCTGTGATGGTTCCATACTTAACAAGCAAATATATAAACTATTAAAACTTCACTAGCATTCACTTGTACTAGTTAGCTGGGTTATCATCATTGCACTCAGGACATGTCCATATGTGCTCAGATCCTCGTAATAGTAATAGTATGAATTCATCTGGTGGCTAAGAGTAAGAGTACTACCAGTTCTGTGTTGATTAACAAGTCCTCTGATGTGCTAGCGGTGTGTGTCTTGTTTTTTGTTTTCACTTGTATTTAGTGTATTACTATTACAAGTATCATTAGTATGGATTAAGGGAAGCTTTCTCGAAAATCAAATCATCCAGTGCACCAGGAGGGTACTCCTGTCAAATCCGGACGAAGACTAAAAAGCCTTGGACGACTTAGTCAGAGTTTTCTCCCTTTGCCGCACTGCGAACAGTGATCGGAAAAGCCAACGAAACAAAGAAGACAGTCACGTCGACATCAGGGCTGCCAATGCTTGGTTGTTTCCCCCAGATCTGGGTTTTTTTCGACGCTGCAGGACAATTCTAGTTTTTTTTTGGGTGTGTTGTGTTTGTTGGTTTTTGCCGATTTGTATGCTTTAATGATCGATAAATTTGCGTGGTTAGGGGTAGGGGTTAGGGCTAGGGAGTAGGATTAGGATTAGGGTTAGCGGTAGGGTTAGCTTTAGCGTTAGATTTGACAATTTTGACGCCGGAGTTCCCTATAATCGCGCACAGTCCCATACATACACAAACAATCGAGGGCCTCTGGATGCTGGTCAAACGCACATTTCGCCAACGATTGGGGGCACCAGCCGCACGCGATTGGCGTCATATTTGACAGTTTCAGTGGCGCCACTCCCACAAACATCAGATTGTCGGCCAGTATTTCGAAATCCTACGTCAAAATTTTCACATCTAACCCTAACCCTAACCCTAATCCCAACCCTAACCCTACCCCTAACCCTAACCCTACCCCTAACTCTAACATTACCCCTAACTCTAACCCTACCCCTAACTCAAACACTACGCATCCCTAGACGCAACCGTATGATGACTACGCATCCCTTCACGATGCCTCACGCAACCGTATGCACCCCTGCACGCAACCGTATGATGACTACGCATCCCTTCACGATGCATCACGCAACCGTACGCAGCCCTACACGCAACCGTGTGATGATAGGTAAGTGTGTCGTTTGTTTCGTTGGCTTTTCCGATCACTGTTCGCAGTGCGGCCAAGGGAGAGAACTCTGACTAAGTCGTCCAGGGCTTTTTATTCTTCGTCCGGATTTGACAGGAGAGCCCACCAGGAGTTAAAAATAGACAATCGATACTTTTAATAATAATAGCCAAGGCAAAGCATGAATAATGAATATTTAATATTTTTTTTTTAAATTTATATTATTATTAATTATAATTCAAATTGTATTGTATTTCTTATTCAATTTTATTTTGGTTTTGTTAACTCTGTTGTTGATTGTTGTCCCCAATTTAATTAGACTATACTATAATGATCTAGATTTTATGAGTATGTAAGCATGCGAATTCAATTGAAATTGTTAGCGACTTAATACTAATAATAGTAATAGTAATAATAACTTTCCAACTTACATGGCCGTAAAAAGCAGCCCAGTGTGCAGGCGTCCATCCATTTATAATATCTTCCTCAGAAACCAGCGCCGAAACACAAGCGTCGGCCGCCTGTCCACAGTTATTGTTGTACAACAGAGCATTACCTATCAGGGTGTCCAGCATGTGTCCGTCGCCGGTGTAGCATGCGAAATGTAGAGGAGTCTGCGCCAAAAGTCTTCGACTGCAGGCGTCAAGCAATGGAGGTGGCTGATTCTCGAAATTCATTGTAAAAAATGTCGTTTACTTGTATTTAAAAACTGATTGGAGGTGTAGAGTGGGTTTTGTAAGTAGTAAAAAGAATTGGCAGCGTGAATCTCAAACCGGCAGAAGTTCCTTTGTTGTCGTCTGCTCAACGCTTGGCGTTTCCTCATGGAAGTCTAAACACCAAAACATACAGTATCGGACTGGCGCCATTGATGTTGGAACTCTGCGTTGGCTGCTAAAGATAGGGACAAAGCGTTTATGAGAACGCCTCTAGTGCTGTGATGTCGGTCCTTAATTCAAATCGAATCAACATTCAGTATTAGAGAAGCGTATTTAGATTCCGTGTTGACAGTTGGCATTTAGATTACGTGTTGAAAGTGACCAACTGGAAAGATAAGGCTAATCACAGAGATGAATAGAAGCGGGTGATACATGCAGCAATTAATCTCAAGGATTCGGAATGCAGAAAAAGACAAACAATTTGGCAGTGGAGACCACCCCGAAGATATCCTCACTTAGCTGCGGCTTGTGTGCCTTAGTGATCGTGGGAGATGAGCAGGGCTTCATTAGCCGGGCAGGTCAAAGGGGGAGAGTAGAGAGAGACATCCTGGTCCTTCGGGATGGGGGCTGAAGCGTGTGGCCACCCCACCTTTGTAAAACTTTATTTATTAACGAACAGATCGGTTAACTTAAAATTGGGATGGCAACGACCTTGAAAGACAATCGCAAAAGTATAAACAGCAATGAACCTCATGGGCTCAGACTGATGAAGCTAGCAATGATAAGGGATGGATTCGAGAACTTAGTGACAATTGCAAGATTGATGTAAAATTAACACACACAAAAAAACCGCCTAAGCTTATGACATTCTCTACATTTTGATAAACAGAGGGGGAACCTTTGAGGCCGTTTATGTGTTCTTCTATCTATCTACTTCTTTCTATGAGTGCCGATCAAAACACTGTATGTTACTTGATTAATTCACAACATTTGGATAGAAGATTCAACTGTCTACATAGGGATGCCCAAAAAAAAGAAACCACAACAACCTACAGGAGATGTGTTAAAAACCAGAGTGAAAAGTGGAGATTAAATTAATAATTAAATCAGATCAAAATTATTATGGCTAAAACCAGTCGTGTTCATTTAGTAAAGAGCATCACCCGGAATGGTTTGTCATCTGTCATGGCTACAAACTCTCCCAAAGAATTACGTTAAAGAAATGCAATGAGCATAAAGCAAGGTGAAGACCACACTAAAAGTAAAATCGGATACTACTCACAAAAGTCATCCCGCGAGGATTCGTAGCGGTTCCCATGGGATGTCCTATGTTCTAGGGGTGTTATGACATGTTTTTCTTCGCCGTCTATATACAGTGTGCCTAAAAGTGACTCAGGTTCGTTCAAAGCGGTGGACAAGCTATCATCCAAACAAAAGTGTGCTGTTTTCTTTTCGTAACTTGTTTGTGTGAACGGCTGGAACGTGTTGCTGTGTGTAGGCCTCAAGCTCTGAAGGCGTCTTAGTGCAGGCAAAAAGTACCGCAGGGTAAAAAATATCTAGAAATATCTAGATTTACGCTGTGGAACACCTAGAAAAAAAAACATCAAAATGAAACAGTCACAAATTACATAGCTATTGATATAACTTACCCAATATAATTATGTCCTCATCTTCACTTATGTCTGTACCCCATGTGGGTTCCGGGGTCCCATTGTGGGGGTAAACAAGAATAGACCCACTGCCTGCCCAAAAGCATGTCGTAGGAGTCGCCTAATTGTGATGCCTATTTTGAAGTCGGAGTGCATCTGCCTGAGAGGCAAGGAACAAACAGTCTGCATTTAAGTGAATCAGATCTGTAAAACTGATGAGCACGCAACACTTAGGTTCTGGAGCAGTAATGCAATCTAGGAGTGGACGAACAACCAGAACTTTCCGCCAGAGTGTACAGCTGGTGAACGAGAAGAAGACTTATGTCTGTCTCACAAGATCCACAGGATAAACGTAAAATGTCTCGGGTATGCTTTAGCTGTTCTAATTTCTTGGAACGATATTACCAGTAGCCCCTAAAAATTTCATAACTTTACTATATTTAGGTATGTCCTTTACTGGCTCAAGTATGTTGCTCAGAGAAAAGAGTGAATTTTTTTTTAATACATCTTGATTTTCAGGAAGTATCTGCTTCAGTTGCTTGAATAATGAGATAAGGAAATCTTGATATCGCTTTCTCAAGTTGTTCTGTTCATTTTCTGTTAACAATCCTTTTTTTTCCAGAAACCATGAGTTGCTAACCCTTTAGCTTGGTACTATGATATCGCAACCCTTCGGCCTTGATTCCATGATAAATACTGTAAATCTGGGAGAAATGTGGCTTTTCTGCCTACCCCCGGCAGTGAACCCGGACCACAAGGATTTCGTCACCACGATGTCAGGTTTAACCAACTACGCTAGAGAGCCGGGCTTTTGTTTTTAAATCATCAATTTTCATTTCGATTTGATATCCAAGGTATGGCTTAGGAGCCAAATAGCTCTCTATAGTGCAAGTGAGCAAATCAGCTTTAGAAGTTGGCAACACCAGTCTTTTATCAGCTTGGTGAAATAGAAAAGTCAGATCGTCAAGTGATTTAATTTTACAAACATGTTCAAGATTCGAACAGTTATTAACTTGTTGCACTTCCATTGGAATAGGTTGTAAAAAGAGAAGGAATGCTACATTTTTTCATCCCTGTACATTCCATATAGTATTTCAACTGTGTAGCACTTTTCACTTTGTCTTATTTCGAGGTGTGTATTTAGCTCCAACCATTGGTTCACAATTCTTTCAACATCTGGTTGAATTGATAACATTCTAGTTTTGCAATCTGACATAATTCTCAGTGGTGCGAAATCATCATTTAATGCTGAATTTAAGTTATTGTATTGTTATTGCCTGACAGATGATTTTGAAAACCAGCTATGTGTTTCAGCAATTAGGTATTCAACTTTTGATGATTCATTAATCTGTGTAGTTTTGAAAACTGATGCCAGCGTGTAATATCTTTGAATTGAACTGCAGTTTTATGCTTTTTTAGTTTTTGCAAAACTCTTTAAGTTTTGTATTTTTGCTTTAATTTCACACTTGCAGTAGTTACAACGAGCCTTAGTCGTAACCACGTGAACTGCCATCACCCAGTCTTTAATTATGTCATCATGCAACCACTCTTTCCAAAAATATTTTGGTTGCTCATACTGTTTTTTTTTGTTTTGTTGTTGTTCCATGGTGACAGGTTTTACGAAGTGGAAGACCCATATGAAGGTAAGCAACTATTAAAAAAGACATATAAAAAGAACCACAAAGTCAGCATCGTAGCTATTGTTTTTTAACACAGTGAGGATACAGTTCAAACAAAGTATGATTTACGGGCACTCTGTCGCTAGCTGGAAGGCGACGGCCGCTTAGTCGGAGTTCACTCCCTTGGCTGCAGTGAAAATACGGAGCGGACAAGTCACGAATCAAAAAAAAAAAAAACAAAGTGAGGTCGACATGCCTGCTAGAGCTAGACCCCGCGCTGCGACTGACAGTAGCGACCGCGGATATCTAACTCCAAATGAAAAACGCCCTGAACTACATCTACCATCTAGACGTCAAAAACATCATCTAGATGTAAGGGGGAAACATCTAAATATGGATGTAAAACATCCACAGTGGCAACACTGCCCAGCACTCACGTACACACAAAAGCCTCACCAGGTGACCTACTTAGAGCCTCACGAGTCACGACACCTTTGTTGACGCGTATATTACAAAGGTTATATTGTGAAAGCTGGGTGTGGGGGGGGGGGGGAATACTAGGTATTTTGTCGGTAATCACTACTCCTGTATCTAATAACTAAGAATGGCATATGTTTGTAATTTACTCCATTCGCAATTTAAGGACAAGATACAATTAACTTGTTACGATTAGTTCGACGTTAGTCTCCCTAGACCCCGCCCATATACACACTAGATCACTTGTGATTGGCAGTTCCTGAGCCTCGTGGCCTTTGCTCACTTTTACGGGGGAATTCCGCAATCGTTGATATCGCGTGTTGTTTATTTTAGCACACCGGCGCTTTTAACACTTCATAAACATGGAGAAACTGGATCTAACACAACCCCCCCCCTAGAGAGTGCTGCAACCTGTGTCACAGGCACTCTCTTTCTCGGAATGAAAACGTAAATGCAATACATCACAGAAACCAAACAACAGAGAGCGACACACCCGTAACCTTCATGAGAGTGGACCAGCCCAACAAACTTGTGAATGAAAATGGACCTACTCTATTTGAGGTGGCTAACGTCGAACAAGCCCTTGTTACTTGTTACACGTATCGATATCCGAGCATATCGGTCCCACCCATTCATGCTCGGTTCTCCAAAGCAGCAGGCATCCCAGAATCCCTACGCTTACCGTAACCAGTTGAAGTTGACTGGCATATCTTCTTAGTGCACTTGTATTCATGGCGAGGCGCAGACGCCGTCTGGAGGTGACAGGTTCAATTCCCGGCAGGGTAACTATAGCTTTCGATTTTTATGTTGTCTAGTGTGTTCTTCTATCTTTCTACTTCTTTCTATGAGTGCCGTTCACAATACTTTCTGTTACTTGATTAATTCTATACAACTAATGGGTTTCCTTATGATTCTCCTCGGTTAATTTGTGAAGGTGAAAAGAAATTAAAACCGATACTAAAATTAAAATGGAGCGAAAATATGGAGTATAACTAAATCAATGAATAATAAACAACAAGCATTCATTAACTGGTGCCCGCATAGAACAGAGGAAATTTAACGGTGTGATAGAGTCACTTATGTTCAGCTTTGGGAGAGAACTAAACAAGTCCTAGTGAACCAAGAGGTGAAGAAAACCCGCTGGCGTTGGATAGGACACACATTTAGAAAACCCGAAAACAATATTAGGAATGCCTTTGCACTGGAGCCCATAGGGGCTTGCTTGCTTTGAATTAGCCCCGTTCAACCTCTGACTATGGAGCTAGCCTCGTAAAGTATATTCGGTTATAATTATGGTGACAGATCGTGTTGCCTGATGGTTGGTGTCATGTCTGAGAAAAATCAAAACATAGAATAGGATGAATTCAAAAAAAGTGAGGCGATCAGAGAAATGTCTGGATAAATAACAGTATCGACTGCAATAAGACTAAGAAGGATAAAGATTGATACATCGACACACTCTAAGACAAAATGAGCAAAGAATTACAAACTAAGCACTGAGATGGGAAACAAACGGTCAGAAATCGAGAGAGAGAGAGAGAGAGAGAGAGAGAGAGAGAGAGAGAGAGAGAGAGGGAGAGAGAGAGAGAGAGAGTTGCATGCAATAGAGCAGAGTGGAGGAATTGAATGCGAACCCTATGTGAAGTCTAACGGGACAAAAGACCGATGATGATGTTTTGTGCGAGTATTTTCGTCATACAGAAAAAAAAAAACAAAAAAAAACACACACACACACATAAGCATGAAGAATTGAGCTAGAGATTGAAGTTACAAATATGGGAGGACATGAGGTGAGTTACATAGAATAACAAGAGACAGGACGACGTGGCGTCAGGTGGCTGTAGGCCTATCCTTTCTGAAGATGAAGACGAAGAGGATACTGTATCTTGCTCTGTCAGAACCCCAATAAAAAAGCGAGGATTTACTACAAGTTTCCAGTATACATGCCGACCCCGCCGTGGCTTGGATGAAAGACGTGTCAGATACATTGGCGCCTCGGTATACATTCGCTCTGGTCTAAGTTCAACTTAGTATACGTCCTGTTTAGACTCAAAAACATTTGATTTGTATACGACCTTTGTTTGCAGTACGAACTTGTGTGAGTCAAAATTAATCACGACATCATGTGCTATCTTTGTTTACCTCTTTAAAGACGAAGCCTCGTAGAGGTGTCAATGACTTTGCAGAGAAGTATCACCTTAACAAAGCCTAAGTATGCCATAATAGCATTGTCCGAAATGACCGGACAGTGTCACATTTCCGAAACATTCTGAGGAAAAAGCGGAAGCAAAGTTCTTCGAGCAGATTTTCATTAAAAAAAAAAAAAAAACACACACACACAGTAAGAACCTCAGATTCCTGAAGTTGTATTGGAAAGGGACGATACCACCTCATCTCCTTCTCTTCTCAGTGCCATCCTATTAGACACTCGACTCTTTTCAGGAAGGTAAAGTGAAGTTATAATTTCATTTTGTTGTTGTTGTTGCTTGGGATGTCCCGTTTTCAGCTACAAATATTAATAAGATGTCTCGTTTTCAGCTCAAGTTACAATCACCGTGCCTATGCATCACGATCTCCCCTCTCGGCCTGCTTTGTTTACTCCAAAGGAAAGGTAACACCAATGCGTTTGTTACAAACATTCGCAGTTTAAATACACGATATGTCATGCCACAGCCATATTAAACTAAACTAGGATACAACAACGGCGAGGATTTATCCAAGCCGTGCTGGCGGACGGCATGTCAAATATTTGCCTGTGATTCCACTGAATGTTTTGCTAGTTAGGTATGCATGCCGATCTCAGAGAATCAGTCTCTCCCGAGGATCCCATTGGTTGACCCAGGTCACGTGACGTCATATGTTAATTAACTACCAAAAGCAAAATGGAGGACGAAAATATGTGAGCGAAAGCTGCTAACGAAAAATCTTCGATGAAATATGCCCGAAAGAGGGAACGGGGAACTCCCCCTGCCTGAGGGATGGGAAAAAGCGGTTGATTACGATGGGAAAAGCTTCTTTATAGATCATATAAATCGAAGGACAACGTGGATTGATCCCCGAGACAGGTAAAATGTGAAAGTAGGGACAGCGGGTAGGGATGTTTAACTAGAGAGAGACGACCCGGGTTGTTGAGTTAGGTAGGGAATGTAGACGATGTGTGCATGTTCATGTTGTTATGGTCTTTTTCTTGAGTGTTTTGTGACGGATACTTAAATGTTTTCATCGTTCCTGAGGATATAAGTTCGGATTATTAGTTTCACATGCTTTTTTGTGGTTTTCGAATTGAAAATTAATTTTTATCCTCGTTGAAAAAAACGAACTTTCTAACGAAATGAATTTATACTTATAGTACTTATACTTATACAGACCCTTCACTTCATGTGGGTCTAAGAAGGGCATATTTTAATAATTTTACATTTAAAAAAAAGTTTGTAAAAAGTACGGTGATTCTTATTTATGAAATAGAAGATTGCAGATCATTAACACATACCTCCAGATGTTTAGACATTCCAAAGAAATGTTTGTGGATTATTTATTATCTTTATTTCTCTAATTTACCTTGCTTGTCTTTTGTTGTTTAGGATCATTGATCACGAGAGAAAGTGTAGCCACTTTAGTCAAATTTTCAAAATCATTTTTTCCTTATAAAACCAGTACAGCTGCATACATATTGAAAAGCTCTTTCCAACGGTACCTCTTTCATGCCTGTATGTCAATTCTAAGCCAAGTTATTGAAGTTTTTGTGGAAAAAATGAACAAAGAAGAAAAAATAAAAGTGAGATAAAACTTGTCGCCTTAAAATCGTAAGTCTTAGAGGAGTGTTTAAAAAGTGCTTTTACTTAAAAAGTATTTAAAAAAGACCCTAGAAACCATATATTTTTGGATTCGGGACAACAATCTCTAACTGAATAAAGATGAAATTTTTAGTAGTTACGTAATATCAACTAATAATTGACTAATAATTATTCAAAATGGCCGCCATTTATCATAATCATTACTCAATATGTTCTTATAAACTTTATAACGGTCTTTACATTTTTTTTTCCTTGGTACGTTTATTGGAAAAAGAAAAAAAGCTTTAAATGTGCTAAAGACATAAGCACATGTCAAGCTCAAATTAGAACTAGGTCGCTTATTGAATATTTATATTAATTAATTAATTTAAAAAATTTTTTTTTTTTTTTTTTCACAATCACCATCAAATTTCGGAACAGATGAATTTTTTTTCCCTTAGTCCTGGTGATGTATCATGTGCTTCTCCCCTCCCCCTTATTTTATGTTATTTTGGCCACTAATTATTAACTAAAAATAACCATTGTCACTAAGTAAGCGAAACCATCTTTACAAATCTGAAGTACACTGACATTTTCCCCCTTGACTCACTCTGAATAATCCAGTCATCACAAATGAACAAACAATTTGTGTGGTTTATTTCAACATTTGATTATTTTTATTTATAAAGCATACTGTCAAAGTGCCTTCCACGTCCACATGGGGGTTCTTTTACCTCTACCTTTGACAGCAATTTTTGACTGTCAGGACAAGTGAGTGCCCTGCTCTGCTTAAGTGCAGAGTTGTCCACTTATTCCGGTGGATACTCGGTCCCCAGAGCTGTGTTTGCCCATCCTCTACCGCGCAGAACTGCAGTTGGGATTTTCCCTTCACCGAGTTATGAGACCATAAAGGCATTTCCCAAAACTCTCCGGTACTTTAGAAAGATTTCATATCCCAGCATAAGGATTACATCATTTGCTTCTGCTATCCAATGCCAATCTAAACACACAAAAAAAAAAAAAAGTAATTAACATACACATATAATAGTAGACAATTTAAAAAATGCACTTAGCAAAACAGATTTGAAAAAAAAAGATTACCATTGTCAGTATTGTGTATGTGTTGTGACAGCTAAGATATGCAATCGTCAAAAGCCAATAATTTCATGTTTTTTTTTTTCAAACAAATCCTGCATGTATCCACATTCCTTTCTGGTTGGAGTGCCCACAAAGCAACTCACACGTCTGTCTGTAATGATCAAGTTTTCACTGGGTTTACATTGTTTACCTTGGCTCTTAAAGAAGGAATGTAACTATTAGCACATGATTAAGTGGGGTTTTCAGAAAATAGTTCAATTAAAATTGCAAAATATACACCTGAAAAAAGAGGGTTTGAAATCTATTCACAGCTGATATATGTTCATACGTCCCAGATGGTATGTAATGATTATTATAAAGTATTACATTTTGTTTAAACAATTAAACATGTCGTTATAGCTACTCACCATGTCCATTAGTCTGTGTTTGACTGCCGACGAAAGCTGCTGTCGATTGGGCTGACAAGCGAGCGTGATGATGACTTGCACTCTTAGAAGCCTTTATCTTTACTGAGCGTCAACTAAAATAAAACTTTGAGACAGCTTTATAATAAAATTACAATTCTGATATAAATTTGTATGTTCCAAAAATAAGGTTTTGATTATTTTAAAAATATTCTATGATTTCTAAATCGGTTTTCTTTTTTAAAGTACTTATGTTTTATTTTTAATCTTCATAAAATGCCAGTTCTTTTGTGGCAAAGTCTACCAGAAATTCTGTCATAGTCATCTTGAAGGTGGCATCTGTTGGTCCTTCATCTTCCTTCCAGTAATACAGCTCTATTACTGTCTTCAGGCTGTCTTTTTCTTTCACGCTCTTTACCATTTCAATATAGACAGTGTCTACTCCTTCTTCATACCAGACGTGTCGCAGTAACACACCTGGCAGTGCATTAGCGTTGTTGAGAATATTTTTCAACTTCTCCTTTGTGTTCAACTCTACATCTTTAAATAGCTCTAGGTCGAGAACTGACAACACTGACTCTGTACGCACAAAGTCTGATAATCGTTTTTCATGTACATCTCTTTGTGTCTTGTCTAACCTCTGGACATCTTTCTGCTGTCTTTTCTTCTGTTGCTCAGCTTGATGCTGCCTCACTTTAGACCCATAACGGATTGCAAAACGGACCAAAAAGTTTTGGTAGTCGTCATCAAATGACTGTAGCCAGTGCAAAGTTTTGTTTTGCACAGCCTTTATTTTAGCATCAATAAATCCTATGGAGGCATTTGGGGCTCTTTGCAAAGCTCTATCCAACATTGCCATAATTCTTTCAGCCTCCATATTATGAACCGGGGCGGAAGATGTCCTTGCTATCATTTCTTCAGATGGATTAGACAAGGCCCCTGCAAAATATGGCTTAAACTGCTGTTGCAATGTTTTAATAAACGCAGATGATACATTTTTTGCTACTATACTGTAATCTTTAGTAGAATGGTGAAGCTTGGTTAACTCAGACTCCTCCATGTCCCTGTCAAACGCATCAGTTACAGCATGGATCAAGTATTCCGGAGTCTTCTCCACTGACGTGAGATGGCCAAGACATGATGTTATCTCTTTTACCTGGTTGAAAAGAGTGATAAAGAAATATTGTTAAAAAAATTTTTTTATAACAATACACATCTACACTAGTACCCTAATAAACCTGTAAAATAAGCAAATCATATGAAAACACTAGGACAGAGGGAAAGATTGCTGAATCAAGACAAAAACTGAAGCAAGACAAACAAATTGTATCATCCAACTAGCCCCCAGCGAGGGGCCGACAAAAAAATTAACCACAAGCAAATTCTTACTGCTTCGAAGTGTCCTCTTCCATCCTCCTTTGAGTAAAATATCTGCATCCATGGTCCTGTGAGGAAGCGGGAGTACATGCCCATTACTTGCAAGTGTAGAAGGACACTCGGATCAGTCAGGCCTTCATAAATTTTTGCGCACACAAACTTTCCCAGCCTGCATTTTACAAACTCTGTCAGCTGGACTCGATGCAGGTATATCACCGCTGCCATACTGAACATGACATTCAAACGGTTCCCAACATAGCGTTTGAAGATACCGGGATTGATATTCTTCGTCTTCAAAAAGGCTGTGAATGCAGCTGGATCACCAGACCCATCTTTGTACCTGGGAAAAAAAATTAAAAACGTCTTGTTATGTGCATGATTATGTGATTTACTGCAGGCATTAAAATGAAAATTACATTATTTTTAGTATGATTTCCAGATTATCACTACGCTCCATATATGATGATATATCTACCTGTTGTCAAACTGCCAAATACATGTATGTTGAATAATCTGCCACAGACATGAAAAAAATGATATAAAATAGATGTCATGAGACAGGACTTGCTACACAATGATAAAAACTGACTAAACATTACCTCAGTTTGGATACTTGATGAATCAGTGTTGCGGCCCGGCAGCCCAAGGAGGATTTCTGACCATCTTGGTCTGTCTTAGTATCCAGCTTACGCAGAGCTTCACGAGCTGATCTGGCAAGGCCGTCTAATGGGTGCACCATACATTTTAAATCGGCCACGTCTCCGTCTCCACAGTCCTCTTTGAGTCGTTCAGATACTCGGTGGTTTGCAGCAGCTCTGTCGCTCATGGTGCTGTGCAGTTTGCTTTTCACTTCTTCCAGGATGGCTGTTGCGGGTAACTGGAAGGCGGCACAGTAGATCTCGCAGACATCAGATAAGGCTTCCATTGCATGCTGGTACAGCTCCTCTGCTGATGAACCTGAAATGGGTCTAATATTGAGAGTTAATGATTGCCTACCTAGTATTGTTTTGAGGGACACATGAACTTCGTTATAATGTATACCTGCCTTTGTTGTGGAATCCCAGGCTAATGTGATGAGATCGCACTCGTGCAGCATCTGGCCAGCTTGAATGCTAGCAAGCACCCCGAGTTCGTAAGCCATCTGTGCTATTGTAGTCACACATGGAATCTGAGAAAAAACTTACCAAAAATTATCCCTGCAACAGAAGACAACAAACGAGAAATATTCCCAACACTAACATTACACATTAAAAAGTCATAAACACACTGCCTAAATCTATAATCATACTTCCCTGCCTCTTTTGTTGTAACAATGTTGTCACTGTCTTCACTGTCTTCCTTAGAATCTGCCTGTTCCACTGCTTCGTTTTCCCAGTATTTCAGAAGCTGTTTTATTTTCCATGGTGAGCTGTGTAAGAAAGTAATATTTATATAAGCATATTATATGCGTATGCAACATCATATGGGAAAAGGGAGGGGGGTGGTGTAATATTGTAATAGTAATTACATTGTTTTTACATCTATTAACTGTATGTGTCACATAGTGTGTAGTATATTTTATATATATAATTAAATATATGTATTGTATGTATGTATTATTGTACTATACTATATATATATATATATATATATATATATATATATAATTATAATAATAAATTCATTAAATTATAATAATTATATCATGTATCATTTAAAATATTTATTTAAAAAAAATTTCAAATTTAATAATTAAATACTATAACATAACTATAAAAATATTGATAATGCATTATCTGTATTAAGAATAAATATAACTTCTTAAAATAAATACCACATAAAAGACAGCTGTTGTTATGGTAACTGCAGTAACGCCTTCCACAAAAGTAACAAAATGGCCTTTTCCTTTTTCGCCTCAGATAGTCTGATTTAATTAAAAACCATTTCTGTATATCTCCCCTATCACGTCGTTGGGTGTAAACTGACTAAATAGACTTAATTATGGATGATAAAAATACATTTCACAGTTTTAATCAGTTTTAAGAGCCTACAAAATAACTGTATATTAAATAACTACCGATAATTAAAACACGCTGAAGGCTTATTCTAAAGCAACAAGATGGACGCCAATTTCTTCACCCACGATGGTTTCAGGATCGCATCTTGAAAATCCCACTGCAAATCACCCCCATAGAATATACTAATAAAATTTTACAAACTAAAGTTAAATTGGACAGAGAATCGAATAATTACAAGAATATTACGTTTAAATGCGTTGAACGCTATCAAATAATGTGGCTACTTACCGCTATATATTCAAACACGATCGGCAGTAGCAAAACACGATCAAATGCTTTCAGACCACGAGGAATGTGAAAGTCAACCAATTTGCTTTGACTTGGGCTATATATAGCTCGTCGGAATCCCCGAGGTTTCCCGAATGTGTATAACGAATCATCATCGTGAAAAAATTCACCGACAACTTACGGACATTGTTATGGGTAGCAACCCAGCCCGTTCCGTTTCCGGAAGTGCCCGATCGATCGAAGAAAACGTAGTACCTAGAAAGTGATGGCATGTCAGGCTACTAGGTTTGCTTGTTTAGCCTCTGAATTGAGTATGTTTCATTCCTGCCTGCTCTTAACTAAGAAGGAAATGCTTGCAGGAAGGGATCTGAGCACTTCACCTTGTTTGCAATGAAGTAGAAGAATATTTGGCTATACACCGAAGAACGGGCACTAAAGATGGCGGCCGCAAAATATCCTTACGAGCCTCAGTCACGTGTCACTTAATTTGCGGTTTTCCGGCGACTACAGCCACCGCAAAGAGTCTCTCACGCCGCGTGAGGTGCGTGGTTTGGGGCTAAACTAGATGGCTAGGACTCACGAGCAAAGCTGCAGGAGATGCAGAAGCTGCTGTTCGTGAGTCCTAGCTGTCTAGTTTATCCCCAATCCACGCTGTGTGAGCAGCGTTTGGGACTCTTGGCAGTGGCGGTAGTCGCTGGAAAACCGCAAATTAAGTCGCAGGAAGTGGGCAATTGACACGTGACTGAGGCTCGTCAGGATGTTTTGCGGCCGCAATCTTTAGTGCCCATTATTTGGAGGATAGCCGAATATTTAAAGGTCTAGAGTCTATAAATTATATCTTTCAGTGTACCATTGCGCTCACTTTGAATTGTTTATAAGTTTACAGAGTTTACTGTAGGTATTGATAACGGATGACTATAATTTTATGCATTTCTTAACTCCTATGTCCCATTCTTTTGTAACACATTACCATTTTTTTCCGTGTATAAGACAGTATGTGTTTCGTGATTGTTTTTAAGTTTAAAATTAGGGGTTGTCTTTTATATGGAATGTGTTTAAAATATGTATTTCCTAATTTTGGGCTAAAAAAAAATAGAGGTCGTCTATGCACTTGGAAGAGGGGGAGGGGGGGTGAGTCTATACATAAAAAAATATGGTAATCCATATGGGTAAAGGTGGGTGGGGAAAGCTGGTGTTGTTTGTTTAAAATACTCCCCGTGTGGGTTCCTGGCCCCATTATGAGTAGGAAAAAAAATATAGACCCCTGCCTCTTAAATAGCATGTTGTAAAAGTAAACTATTAGGTGTTTCCTTTGAAGTCGGAGTTGTTCATATGTCCGAGAGACAGGGAGAGACGGTCTACATATAAATAAGTCAGTCTTATCTGTCAAATGGATGTGCACGCAGAACAGGTTCATGAACAAGGCTAAAGTAGATTGAACAACCAGAACTTTCCGCCTGAGTTTACAACTGGTGAATGCGAAGAAGGCATGTGTATGGTATGTTGAGTGCTTTAACAAGCAGCCTTTCTTTTGAGTCTGATCCATATGAGATAAAACTGATCCAAAACGTCTATACTTTTGCATATCCTTTTTAAAACTGAAAAATCTGTGTTTCCCAAATTTTTCTTAGCGGCGTTTTTTTTTTTCAGTTAAAATTTTTCCACGGCGCCCTAACCTGAGTAAAAGTATGATTATTTGTAAGTGAGAGATAAAAACAAATCACTCCAAGACAAAATCTAGGTAATTTTAGCTTCTCGCATTTAGTTAGCCCAAATTAATTATGAAGCTTTTACAATATTTTGTGACGCCCCTATGAAGAGGTTGCAACTCCCCAGGGCGCCGCCGCGCACAGTTTGGGAATCACTGTATTATATGATGATTGACACATTTTCATCTTTCCAGACAATAGTGTTTTATTGCGCTATAAGAAGACATGGTTAATCTAAATGTTTTGAAGAGGCTAAAATACATAGATATTGCAAACGTTATAAAGAGATGGTCATTGGTAGATTGTAGACAAGAGAAAAACCAAATCATGTCACAGCTGGAAAGATTAGGGAGTTACAGAGAAAGTGAGAGCGTAAGAGATTCTTGATACCCTTTTGCCAAGACCAAGAAATAGGTCAGCATGTGAATTGAAAGATAAATGGGAGAATTAGGACTGGCCATGCCAGTTAGCAAGATACTTGATGGTGATAAGGAACATTAATATTCCATTGTTAGCCTACTGGTTTGTCATGACTGCTGTATCTATTAACTTTGAACTGCAATTCTAGTGACAGACTGTTGGTGTCAGCTCTGGCAGCTGCCTTATGCATTTAATGCATGTGTGAGATGTTAAAGTGTGCAGTTACTGCTGGCTGTCTGTCTCTTCACATTGGGACAGTGATAGGCATAACGTGAGATGTTTCACTGGTGGATGGGTTGAGCAGTCATGGGGTGACCCATGCAGCCGATAACCGATGGCCTTGTATAAACATGTCAACATATACCAGTCCTTAATTGCTTATGTATTTTGTCTCTCTTTCAGATTTACAAAGCCACAGACCTTTGCAGATTGTGTTGGAAATGAACTGCCATTAGGCTGGGAGGAAGCTTTTGATCCCAATGTGGGAGTTTATTACATCAATCACATTAATCGTACGTTTTTACTGTTTCTCTTGTATGTCTGTAGTGTTTCTTTTGTCATGTCTGTGCACTGATATTTTAGGGTCATGTTGGTTTCTTTTTTCATGTTAAAAATTTATGTTTTGTTTTTAAACTGTCTCTTGTCTGCTTTTTTGTGACATGCTGTCTATTTTTGTTGTTGTTATCATGTCTATAGTCTATTCATTATTTCTAAAGTCTTTGCTTTGCCATGTTTTAAGTCTGTATTTTAATTTTTAACAATGTCTACAGTCTGTATGTTTTTGTGTTTGTGACCACATCTGTTGTTTTTTGTTAATGCTTTCGTCTTCTAGTCTTTCTTTTATCTTGTCTTCTTAAAGCTCCTACATGTGGCTTTGTTAATCATGTCTATACATAACCTTTTGTTAAGGAACCTCTTCTACGCCCTGAGTCCTACTGGGTATATAGTGCTAAACCTGTATTTTATTGACCAACTGGCACTCATTTGGTGATGTAGTCAGCATCATGCCAACCACCTTTACTTCCCAGGACTTCACCGGGTACACATTTTAGTCTGGAAGCCCAGGTCATTTTTGGAAGAAAAAATCTGATCAAATGCGGATTTGAACCTATGACCTTCAGGCCCACAGGCAAGTGTCTGGCCGCCACGCAAAGAGGGCTACCAACCTTCTGTAATATAAAACAAATTAAGTGAACAATCCATAGGAAGCTCAATGAGGGTGGCAAAAACAAACGCACAGAAACATTCAACAGAAGCCTTTATCAACATAAACAGCACTGTGGCTTAGAGGTTAGCGAATGCGGTTATCCGTGTCATGATCGCCGAGTACTGTGTTCATTTCCACGGTTGATGGGGAACAAAATTTTCTCATAGTTTTCTAACAAAGCTATGAGAGTTGTGGCATGGAAGAAACTGGAGCCTCATCATGTAATATTCCCCAAAAAAAGCAGGAGTACACTGTCACTGACTTTTATTGTGAAGACGGCACATAACTATTTGAACTAATGAGCACCACAAAGAGAAGAGAAAGACGATCCTGAAAGGGTCGATAGATTTTTAGATGGAACTTTGCTCATAATCTATAACATGTACTGCAAGTTATTTTTGTACAGGTGTCCCACTGTAGTATATTAACCCTCTTTCTCTGTTAGTGCTGATATCTAGGCTTGTCGGGTTTTTTGATGGTATGTTGGCTTTGGGTATTGGTCAGTGTGCCTATATAACAGGTTTGGTGCTGGTTGCAACTGCATAGTGTGTAGGCGTGGTAGGTACGATTACATTTACAAAGAACAGTTTTAAAAAATATAAAAAAAATTTGGGGGGCAACAAATCAGTTGTTTTGTCACTTTTATGTCACCTTGCATCTTTAAAAAGTATGATATCATAAAGTCAGACATGCTTATGTTAACTAAACCATATATTTTATTGGTCAAAGGTAATGAAGGCAGTTAATTATTTGCTTCTTTTAATGATCACATCTATTGCTAGAATTCTAAGGGTTTTTTTTCAATTTTTTTAAAGTGGCTTAGTGGCTGTGATGATACAACTGCTAGAAATTTTGCTACTCAGGGAGTACAGGTTTCTTCTTCTTCACATCCACTGGCTGTAAACTCCAGTGGAAAGCTCTAGGTGTACTTGCACCTCCAGACTTGAGTCTTGTTCCAGAACCCGAGTTTTGCGTTGTGTGCGCTTCCGTTTCAAAGATCTGGCTTATTTTTGTGCAAAATCTGGATTCCTTGCCTCTCAGGTAGATGTACTCCGACTTCAAATGATACCTCCAATTAGTTGACTCCTACGACATGCTTGTTAGGGAGGCAGCATGTCTATTCTGGCCTCGGAACCCACATGGAGAGTCGCATGTTTCAACCCCCTGGATTTTTGTAAAAACAGATTTCTTCTCTTCCTCTGGTTTCTTAAGGTAGAGTTGATGAGAATTATAGGGATGCATGTTTGTAATCAAATCTTGAAAGGGGTTATTTTTTAAGATTTTTATGGATTGAAAGGGTTGAACGGTTTTAAACATTTGCTATGTTGGTCTTACACTGTACCCCTTTCACATGACTTAGCCTTATTGCATCTAATTTTAGCATTCTTCAGATGCCTGAGATGGAGCAGAAATTGTCATTTCACAGTTTGGTGAAGTTGATGTTATTTGTTGCAGTTGACTTAGTCTTCCACATCTTTCTCTGGCTTCCTCTGTCTCTTTTGCTTTTTTTTTTTGCTCACAGTCTGCATCTGTGGTTAAGAAATTGTGATTGCCCTTCTCAATTTCAAAATACTTGGTACGATTCCAGCCACAGGTATTTAGAAATAGCAATTTGTTCACTAACTACCATGGCACTCAAGGCAAACTCGATAAAACATATCCAAAAGGTATCATAAATGAACGTGAACCACTTAATAATGTATAAATAAAATATAAACACAATTCATCCATCAGATCTAATTCCAGGGACACTTTTACACAAAGAAAAGGAAATATCATTAAAAACTGCCACTTTGCGTTGTTATACTGGCCACTTGCAAATTAAAAACCTTCACTCGCCACACGCTGATTGGACCACTGGGTTGTAACCAATTAGCATGTGGTGTGCGTTCCTTGGAACTCAGAGAGTTTACTCTAAATGAGGCCTCATGGATATAGCTAATAAAAGCTGAACATTATACCAGCTGTAAATATGAGGCAGTGTTCTTTATTCCTGTGAAGTGAAACAGAGCACATTGTTATATAAGGATGGCGCAGTGTTCTTTGATTCTGTCATGGATAAGATTCCAGGGAAGTTGATGATTACTGGAAAGATCTCTGTTCAGTGGCAAGGCAAGGGAAATAATGCAGAATGGTCTTGGACAGTGGAATAAAGACAAGTTATAAATATAATTAATCTAGGGTGCTACAGTTTGCTTGCACACTTGCCTGCCTGTCCTGTGGTACAACTGTTTGTCATACCCACATATAGGTCTGTGGTACAACTATCTGTGATGGCCACCTGTGAATATTAAATTATATTAAATTATTCTATTTACAGAAATCAACCAGCTGGAAGATCCCCGAGTCCAATGGAGGCAAGAACAGGAGCGCATGCTCTCAGAATACCTAGTCACAGCACAAGAAGACCTAGAGGTTTGTTTCCCTTCTGTTGTTATAAAGGTTTCTTCCATAGTAGATTTTACACAGGAATTTGGTTATTAGGATAACCTTCTGTCTTGTTTAGCAATCCTTTAATACCTAGTCACAGCACAAGAAGACCTAGAGGTTTGTTTCTCTTCTCTTGTAGATCTTCTTCTTCTTAGTGTTCACCAGCTGTAGACTGGTGGAAAGTTCTGGTTGTTCATCCACTTTTGGACTTTGGTCTTGTTCCAGAACTTGAGTTTTTTATGCACATCCATTTTACAGATCTGACTTATTTGAATGCAGACTGTTGATTTCTTACCTCTCGGGCAGATGTCGCCTTTACCAGCATGTTTATGGGAGTAGGGGTAAGAGTTGGTGTCACCCCTCCCCCCAGTGGCAATGGGAGATGTAGATGATAAAAGTTTTTCCTGTGCCAGATTTCGTCATTAGGTGGGAAGTGTTCTTACAGAAAAGAGCATAGTATTGAGCAAGTCAAAGCAGTAGTCAGTTTCATAAAATCCATGCCTGTTGTCAGTTGGTGAATTTGTTTTCTCATATTGGAGATTTCTTATCTTGTTGGTGGCTTGTGATTATACCTCTGTGTGGAACTTAATCTCTAAATAATCAACAGACAACACCCCTGGGATAAATTGAGCAATGCATCTAATCACATCCATAATAGACCAAAGTCTCATCTTCAGCCAGCCAAATACCTGCTCCGACCACTTGTCATGTTTTAAGTTGCCGCGGCCCCCCTCCTCCCCCTGACTTTTGCTAAACAAATAGAGGAATGTGAAAAAAGTACTTTAACAGAATCAAAGAAAGTTTAACAGTAACCACACTCTGTAAGTGGGAGGAAGCAGTTTCCCAGTTTCAGGGCCTGTTAGGTGATTCTCTGTTCGTCTCTTCTTAGAATGCGTCCAGTATAGCGCCATCTTCTCTGTCTTATAACTGTTGATACTAGTGGTTGCCCAGACACTTCTCTCATTTCTTCACTCTTCATGAATTTATCCCATTTTTTGGGGGGGTTCATATTTTCCCTCAGGCCTTTGTTTTCAAATGCATTTAATTTTAATTGTATGTCTTTAGTGGTTCTCCAACTAACACTGGCATATGATAAAAATACTTAACTTGGTTCTAAAACTGTAATGTTTTTTCTGAGCTTTAAAAACCTGATGCCTTGCCAGTGTGTGTCATAATTACTTTCTGTGTTTTTCCTTGACTATAAAGATTACTATCAAAATAAGTAAATTAGATCTGTTAGTTTAATTCTGCTAATTTAATTCCTGAACATACTGTAAAATAAAATAAAAATTGCCCATTGATGTCTGCAGGCCAAGAAAGAGATCTACTCAATTAAAGAGCAGCGTCTTGTGTTGGCCCAGGATGAGTTCCAACACCTCCATGAATCCTTATCTGGGTGGAAGTCCTCTAGGACAAGCTGTAAGTGTTGTACAAACTTATAAAGAATTTGCTATTGGCATTGCTTGAATCCACATCATGTCAGATTTTGAAAATAGACCTTGGCTACCAGGTCCACCTGGGTCCCAGGAAATGTCATGGGAAGTAAAAGCGGGCAGTGTGATGTTGATTGTACTACCCTTCGAATGTAGGTCTGTAAAAACCATGGATTTAGCATCATTTGCCTGATGTGCACGTGGTATAAAAAAAAAAGGTCTTTTACCATTTTTCTGTTATCCCTACCACCAGTATTTCTTATCCATCTTTGCTATTCATAGTTAATTTTCTGCATAAAAAATGCTACCATCTAAAGCAGGGGTTCTCAACTTTTTTCGGCCGCGGCACCCTTGTAGGGCAAAAAAAAAGATTTTGTGGCACACCTACACTTAAAGCGGTTAAATTCTTAGGAAAAGAATACAAAATAGTGCGTTATAATGTTCAGTTATCTTTAGTGCAATGAATGAAACTGTTTGGACGAATTTTGCATTATATTCTTTTCATTTTTAGAAATTCTCTCATCATAGATGACCCTGCCTCAAGAGATGAAGCGTGGCATTTGAAGATTTCTTAACCTATGTGTACTAAATGAGAATGATTACATTCCAGATGACTCTTCAATTTGGACGGAACCAAAGAGCCATTAGTAACACTTCTATGGCAGTTAACGAATTGCCCTTCCGGTACCTTTTTGTTTCCAACCGAAACAAAGCCAAACAAAGTGAGGTAGCTAGGATAATATTTTCCTTGAATTTTCCTCAAATTTTTTTTGATCGTGAGTTGTCTTTCTGGGAACTGAGGCAGATCAACTTGGATGGCTTTGGCTCGCAGCTGTCTGCTGAGACAATGTAACTTACTTATCGACTTTACCTTAACAAATGCAGGCAGGGGATCGGTCGCACCTTTAGATGAATACAAGGACAATTCTTAGCACGTTGCGGTTGACATTTTATGCCATACAGAAAATGTCTTAGTGTGAAACAAACAATTTACTCTTTTCGCCAGTGGCGAGGAAAGACAACTTAAATGTTAACTCTTAAGTATCTACATGCCTTCTTTATTAATTTCACAGTGTTTAGCCGACTTTTCTTGATAACTGCCGCAACACCACTGGCATACGCTCCTCATTCGACCCACAAAAGGGAAGCGACCCATTGGTTGAGAACCGCTGATCTAGAGAGAGAACTTCCTATTCTTCTTCTTCTTCTCTTCCTTCACTTACTTAATCAAATTGGTGGGGGAGATGCAAGGATCTTCTGTGTCTCTTTCTAATGCTTTGTATAAGTTAATCTTTATCCCCAGGTCTGTTCCGGGGTCCATTATAGTGGAAAAAATGGACTCACCGTCTCCCTAAAAAGCATGTTGTAAGAGTCATCTGATTAGGGATTTCCTTTGAAGTCGGAGTGCATCTGCCTGAGATAAAGAACCAGTAGCCTGCATACCAATAAGCCAGATCTGTAAAACAAACAACTGGAACTTTCTGCTGAAGCTTACAACCGGTGAAAACAAAGAAGAATAGGAGACTGGCTGTAAATTAAAGCTAGCTATATTTTATGAAGCTTGGGTTTTGCAGTCCTTGGGTATACAGGTTCAATTTTTGAAGCAGGCAGTTTGAATCATATTGCATTTGTGGCTTTTGGACTGTGGACAAGTGTCGTACCATAGAAGAAATCATGGCCTTACCACATAATGTTCTTAAAGACAGTAATGGGTGCACACACACATATCCACCATGGCCAACCTCCATTGTGGAGGTGTCACAATTGTTAAATTTGTTTTCATACCACCATATATTTCCTACCTGGGTATTTTTGTTCTCTTTAGGGGTGGGGGGGGGGGGGGATGGCACTGCGCCCTTAACCCCCACCCCACCCTGCATAAAAAGGGCATAAGAAAAAATAAAAATATGGTTTGTCAAAATCAGATGTTTTCAGTCAAAAGGTGCAGATATCACACCCTGGCTGTAAGCCGCAACACAATGTCCCAGCCACCCTTTTGATGGTAAACCTAGAATAAGAATGGATATATATATAAATAATGAGATGGTTGTACATGAAGACAGGGTTTATATTTTTTTTTTGCACAAGACTCACCTATTACTGTTTGTAGTGAATTCTAACTCGAGTGTTGGGAGCACAAAATATGACCCAGACCTGCTCAAACAGGATGTGAACCTGGCCAGGAGTAGAGTGGCACGTCTCAAGCGGGAACTGGAGCAGATCAGGGCTGAAGTCTCGTACAAGGAGAGGGGCGTTGAGACTCTGTCAAAGTGAGTGCGAGTCATTTTCTGTCTATATTTCTGGGTTTTTTTTCTCCATACTTTCATACCCCACTTGTAGTAGACGTCAGGCTTGACATCTTCTACTCATCTTTAATTCTCCATCGAGGATGAAACATTATATTTCTCAAAATGTTTACATAATTGTCTTACGATGGACAAGCCTCAAAGAAGAGAGAATAGGTCACCTGAGCTTGTTTAATGAAGGTTTAGCATTCAGTCCTTAGGCATATTGGCAGGTTTGGATTCCTGGCAGGAATGGTTATTTTTTATCATGACCAGTATGTCTTTAGAGTTGATCTAGCCTTGTAAAATGGACGCTAGATAATTTCCTGGGGGGGGGGGGGGTGGAAGATGGTGATAAAAGAATTGGCCACACTTTCTCAGCTGGTGATGTAGAGTATAGGACTGGGTCTTGCAAGTGACACATCAGGCATGTGGTGCATTTAGTTGGCTCTCGGTGGGTCATCATGTGGCTGGCCACCATTACATACCAGGACATTTCCTAGGAGCCAAGATCAGTTATTAGACATCATTGTTTATGTTGTTTCTAGATTATGTTATTTTGGTACTAGCTTACAGGGGCGCTTACATGGCTGTTGGAGCTGAAAGTAACTCACACATTGATAGTGACAGACTTATTGAGCTGGCTTAAAAAGATCCAAATGGCAAACTCCGCCTAGAATGGACTTACAGCATCTGGGAATTCTACTTTAAGAAGCTTTCTTGGCTGTACATGCGGGGGCGAAAGGAAATGAGAGAGCCGATAGACTGGCCATGTCTGCATTATGTAGTGGAGGTTGAAATGTGGACAGGGTAAACGTAATTAATGCTCTGCATTCCAGATACGTAAAATTGGGGTTGGAGTTGGCGACCCCCATATTGGAAATAGGTTTTAAACGAGGACAAGCACGCAAATAAATTTGTTGTGCCGATCAATCTTTACTGGTTACAGTGAGCCAACTTTATTTTTAATGGGTCACAAATTGGGCGCATAGGCCTACCTTTTGGCCCTTGAAACACTCATCTTTAAAACCGCTATTGAAGATACTGAGCTGGCCGTTAAATCAGAGGACAGAGTATCAATGGGTTGGACCAGTGTGCTGGGATATAGATACTGACAAGTATCAGTATCCTCAGATAAACTACTTTATATTTTGTTGTTTATGTTATGTTGTTCCAAGAATCTGATGAGTCCAGTAAACCTATTTGTGTTGTATGGCTTGAAATGAGGGATCCTTGGTGAGACTAATCCTCTAACATAAGCCCATTGTATTATGTTGCAGTGTTGGTCAGAAGCTGCAGACATTAACTGGAGGATATAGCCTAGAACAAGCACAGAGGATTTTGACAGAGATCAGGCAACTGCAGTCTAGATTGTCGCAGGGGGAAAAGGAGAAGAAAGATCTCATGCAGGTAGGAGTCGTTTGTCTTTACTAACACTGTGGTCTTAGTTTCTGGAACCCCCCCTCCCCCCTTCCCTGTGTTCTGCAGCCCCACTGGGGAAGCCCCTAATAAGCATGCTGTAAAAAAGCAACTAATTATGAGTTTGCTGAAAGAGACAGATGTCGCTGCATAGTTTGTCCACCTCTGGACTTTAGTCTTGTCTTGTTCCAGAACCTGATTGTTGTGTGAACATTTATTTCACAGATCTGGCTTATTTGTATGCAGACTCTTGCTTCTTGGCTTCAGGCAGATGCACTGATGGATGCCTCCAGTTAGTTGACTCCTACGACATGGTGTTGTTGGGGAGGCACTGGATCTGTACTTGTTGTGGGCCCCTGAACCCACTCTGAGATTTAGTTTCTGTGAAAGCCCTCGCCTACCCAGGGCAGCTGACTGAAAGTTTTGGGTTCAAATCCATATGGGCGGTTCAAAAAAATGTCTTTGCCCCCACTGGCCCGGCCTAAAATAATCAAATGTCGTGGAAGTTAAGAAAGCTGACCACATCACCCATTGTGTGCCACTGGTCTATAAAACTGTGGGTCTGGCACCATATGCGTGATGTGCCGATGGTGTTAATAAGTAATACCCTGTCCTTCCCTGGCAATGGAGGGCTGTCGGTGGCCAGGGGTAGACCTGTTCGATATGTGGGACCCAGTCCTGCATTCACCTGATTATTACCCAACATGGTGGTACCACAGTTGGATAAATATATTTGCGTATGGCCATTGAGATATCCAAATGTGTTGATTCCTCCCCACCAGAAGAATAGTTGACACATTCCTTTTCTGGGAACATCTTTTATTGAGTTCGCTGTCTAGACAGTTTGTGCCCCCCCCCCCCCCCCCCCCCCCCCCCCCTCAGGTGATGATATTGTCTTTCCAAAATGTGGACCTCCATAATCAAACCAATGTGAAAACTGCTTGTTTGAGGCTGTGAAAACTATCGGTCATCACCATGACTTGATGTAGCACAGCCACAATACGCACTGCACCCACGTAAAATATTATGTATCCTGCATTGAAAACGAGCACAAAATAGCAGTCCATGACACGGTACAGAACACTTTGAGAGAAATCATAGCCAGCAAAACATAACACAGCTGCTGAACACTGTTTTGAAAACAGAAGTTCCAGTGGTGTTGAAATGATCCTTTACCTTATCCAGGATGGTAGGATAAATCAAGTTTATAGTTTGTGTATCCGTAAGATTCTGAAGTGTCATGATCAACGGGTGCTAGGGTTCATTTCCCACAGTGGGTGGTTAAAAAAGGGCTGTTCTCTTGGTTTTCAGACAATGCTACATGAGTGTGGAAGTAATATTCCCAGACACAGCAGTGCTACATTGTAGTTAGCCTTCATAGTAGAGACAGCACATAATTTATTTAAGGTTCCTATTTAAAACCACTTTATAAGGATTAACAGGGATTTGGATTGGTATTTTCTCTGTGAATTTGTTGGTCCATTTTTTAAGTGAGAAAATAATAGACCTTCTTCTCCTTTACAAGCATGCCATAAAAGGTGACTTATTAAGGATTTGCTCAAATTGCATGTGTTAGGCAAAAAGGCGCATATATCACAGCCTAGCTGTAAACCACAGCAGCGTGTTTACTGCCTTGTAGGATAAATGCAGAAAAGGAAGGATTGACGTTCATGATGGGGTGTTAAACTTTCAATTTTTGGAGAGGGAGTGTATATATTTATAAACAAGAAACGTGAAATTTACGAGAGGGAGTCAATAAGTAAGACACAAATGGTATAGGGGTGGCAGAAGAATGTACTTGATGGTTTCTGAAAGTGTCATTAGATGACAGCAACAATGAATTTATGTCTTCATTCGTTAGGTGGTGCTAGGTGTTGCATGCACATTTGCAGCACAGAAAAAAAAAATGGCAACTGTACTTATGGGGTGTACCCCCAAAGAACAACATTCTGTTAGTGTGGGGGGGGGGGGGGGGGGGGGGGGGGGGGGGGGGGCAAAAGAGCTGCCTGCAAAGGACATTTATAAGAAAATGTTTTCTGTTTATGCTCACAAATGTTTATCCCAGAAAACAGTGCATAGCTGGGTTAAAAAAAATAATAATCAGCTGTTTATCCATGTCACTCTGTCCCACTGTCCAATAGTAGCAACTGTTTAACCCTGTCACTGTGTCACACTCTCCATTAGTATCAGCTGTTTATCCCGGTCACTGTGTCACACTCTCCAATAGTATCAGCTGTTTATCCCTGTCACTGTGTCACACTCTCCAATAGTATCAGCTGTTTATCCATGTCACTGTGACACACTCTCCAATAGTATCAGCCGTTTTTCTATGTCCCCCTGTCACACTCTCCAATAGTATCAGCTGTTTTTCTATGTCCACCTGTCACACTCTCCAATAGTGTCAGCTGTTTTTCTATGTCCCTCTGTCACACTCTCCAATAGTATCAGCTGTTTTTCTATGTCCCCCTGTCACACTCTCCAATAGTATCAGCTGTTTTTCTATGTCCCTCTGTCACACTCTCCAATAGTATCAGCTGTTTTTCTATGTCCCCCTGTCACACTCTCCAATAGTATCAGCTGTTTATCCATGTCACTGTGACACACTCTCCAATAGTATCAGCCATTTTTCTATGTCCCTCTGTCACACTCTCTAATAGTATCAGCTGTTTTTCTATGTCCCCCTGTCACACACTCCAATAGTATCAGCTGTTTATCCATGTCACTGTGACACACTCTCCAAAAGTATCAGCTGTTTTTCTATGTCCCCCTGTCACACTCTCCAATAGTGTCAGCTGTTTTTCTATGTCCCTCTGTCACACTCTCCAATAGTATCAGCTGTTTTTCTATGTCCCCCTGTCACACTCTCCAATAGTATCAGCTGTTTTTCTATGTCCCCCTGTCACACTCTCCAATAGTATCAGCTGTTTTTCTATGTCCCTCTGTCACACTCTCCAATAGTATCAGCTGTTTATCCATGTCACTGTGACACACTCTCCAAAAGTATCAGCTGTTTTTATATGTCCCCCAGTCACACTCTCCAATAGTATCAGCTGTTTATCCATGTCCCTCTGTCACACTCTCCAATAGTATCAGCTGTTTTTCTATGTCCCCCTGTCACACTCTCCAATAATATCAGCTGTTTATCCATGTCACTGTGACACACTCTCCAAAAGTATCAGCTGTTTTTCTATGTCCCCCTGTCACACTCTCCAATAGTATCAGCTTTTTTCTATGTCTACTGTCACACTCTCCAATAGTATCAGCTGTTTTTCTATGTCCCCCTGTCACACTCTCTAATAGTATCAGCTGTTTTTCTATGTCCCTCTGTCACAGTCTCCAATAGTATCAGCTGTTTATCCATGTCACTGTGACACACTCTCCAATAGTATCAGCTGTTTTTCTATGTCCCCCTGTCACACTCTCCAATAGTATCAGCTGTTTTTCTATGTCCCCCTGTCACACTCTCCAATAATATCAGCTGTTTATCCATGTCACTGTGACACACTCTCCAAAAGTATCAGCTGTTTTTCTATGTCCCCCTGTCACACTCTCCAATAGTATCAGCTTTTTTCTATGTCTACTGTCACACTCTCCAATAGTATCAGCTGTTTTTCTATGTCCCCCTGTCACACTCTCTAATAGTATCAGCTGTTTTTCTATGTCCCTCTGTCACAGTCTCCAATAGTATCAGCTGTTTATCCATGTCACTGTGACACACTCTCCAATAGTATCAGCTGTTTTTCTATGTCCCCCTGTCACACTCTCCAATAGTATCAGCTGTTTTTCTATGTCCCTCTGTCACACTCTCCAATAGTATCAGCTGTTTATCCATGTCACTGTGACACACTCTCCAATAGTATCAGCTGTTTTTCTATGTCCCCCTGTCACACTCTCCAAAAGTATCAGCTGTTTTTCTATGTCCCCCATCACACTCTCCAGTAGTATCAGCCGGACTACATCTGGTACCCATTTTAGGCTGGGTAGACCTGGGAACTAAGTTGTGTTTGAAAACAAAAAAATATTTGACTGGATACAGATTTGAACCCCAATACCTTTGAGCTGGCAGGGGGAGCGTCTGACTGCCACTACATCACCGCTGCTCCTGCAGTTAAATATTATCAGCTGTTTATTCGTGTCATTATATCACAGGGGTATCGTTTTCTTCCATGCAACCATGCCAGTCTTATTCAATTAATATTGAGGAATGTGTTCTTGATTTCATTTGTTTTGGTTTGGTGTTCGGTCAGTCTGTTTGTCTGTCTCTATGTGTGGGGTCTCTCTGCTTCTCTGTATATGTATGTCTTTCTCTGTGTCTGGCTGTTCTTCTCTGTCTCTGACTGCCCCTCTGTTTCTCACTTCTGTCTCTCTCTTTATCTGTGACTATATGACTGCTATCTATCTCTCTCTCTCCCCCTCCCCCTCCTTCTCCCACCCCTTACCGGCTATACAACATTCAGTTCTCACAAATTCCCAGCCAAGTGGTGTTCATTTTATGTCTCATTGTGATATCAGCTAGTTGTCTGATGTATGCCTTCAGGTATTTTATGGATCATTTAGCGAGTAGTTCTGTTGGGTGTGGGGGTGGGGGGGGGTCTTGGAGATGGTGTTGCTGCAAACCACACAGAAGGTGAGAGGGATGGAGCTGGTGTGGATTTCTTTCTCTTCTTCCTTCCTTCCCTCTTTCTGTCCTTCCTTATTTCCTTCTTCTGTCAGTATTTTCTAGAAATTGTGTGCCATCTATATGCTCACCAAAGTACTCTTCACCTGTGTGTCTTACCTCTCTAATATCTACCTGCTGACCTAACCATCACTCACCTGTTTGCCTGTCTAGCTTTCTCTCACTATCTTTGTATGTAAGTCCTTTTCCAACAAGCACAATCCCTTGTCCCAGGTCTACATTTGTATAACTTTGTAAAGATCTGCCTACTTATATCATCATCACCATGTGCTTTCCCAGGTCTTATGTCTATCCAAAGATCTTGTTCTTTGGT